GGAGGGAGAGAGGGAGGGAGAGAGAAAGGGAGAGAGAGGGAGAGGGAGAAGGAAAGAGAGAGAGGGAGAAGGAAAGAGAGAGAGGGAGAAGGAAAGAGAGAGGGAAAAGGAAAGAGAGAGAAAGGAAGAGAGAGAGAGAGAGAGAGAGAGAGAGAGAGAGAGAGAGAGAGAGAGAGAGAGAGAGAGAGAGAGAGAGAGAGAGAGAGAGAGAGAGAGAGAGAGGGAGAAGGAAAGAGAGAGAAAGGGGGAGAGAGAGAGAGAGAGAGAGAGAGAGAGAGAGAGAGAGAGAGAGAGAGAGAGAGAGAGAGAGAGAGAGAGAGAGAGAGAGAGAGAGGGAGAACGAGGGGTGGAGGGGAGGAGGGGGAGAGAACGAGGGGGGAGGGAAGGAGGGGGAGAGAACGAGGGGGGAGGAGAGGGAGAGCGAGGGAGCGACAGAGAGAGAGAGAGAGAGAGAGAGAGAGAGAGAGAGAGAGAGAGAGAGAGAGAGAGAGAGAGAGAGAGAGAGAGAGAGAGAGAGAGAGAAAGTGAGAATGGGAAGGAAACCTATTCCCCCTTATCTTGCTGATAACCGATAACAGGCAAGGTCAAAGCGCCACTCGCCGTACCTCAATTTCTCACCCACGTCCCCCGTTTCATTTACCAGATCTTTCTACGCCGCTTCAATGATATTACAACAAAACAAGATACAGAAAAGAAACTACATGCACAGGGGTGGAGGGCGTGACGAGGAAGAGAAGAGAAGAGAAGAGAAGAGAAGAGAAGAGAAGAGAAGAGAAGAGAAGAGAAGAGAAGAGAAGAGAAGAGAAGAGAAGAGAAGAGGAACAGGAAAAGGTAGTTGAAGAAAAAGAGAAAGAAGGAAAGCGAGAACAAAGAGAAAGAATAAAGATGAAGGGAGGGAGAGAGAGAGAGAGGAGAGGGAGGGAGAGAGAGAGAGGAGAGGGAGGGAGAGAGAGAGAGGAGAGGGAGGGAGAGAGAAAGAGGGGAGGGAGGGGGAAAGAGAGAGGAGAGGGAGGGAGAGAGAGGGGAGAGGGAGGGAGAGAGAGAGGAGAGGGAGGGAGAGAGAGAGAGGGGAGGGAGGGAGAGAGAGGAGAGGGAGGAAGAGAGAGAGAGGAGAGGGGGGGAGAGAGAGAGGAGAGGGGGAGAGAGAGAGGAGAGGGGGAGAGAGAGAGGAGAGGGGGAGAGAGGGGGAGAGAGAGAGAGAGAGAGAGAGAGAGAGAGAGAGAGAGAGAGAGAGAGAGAGAGAGAGAGAGAGAGAGAGAGAGAGAGAGAGAGAGAGGAGAGAGGGAGAGAGAGAGGGAGAGAGAGAGGGAGAGAGAGAGCGAGCGAGAGAGAGGGGGGGGAGAGAGCGAGCGAGAGAGGGGGGGGGGAGAGAGCGAGCGAGAGAGGGGGGGGGGGAGAGAGCGAGCGAGAGAGGTGGGGGAGAGAGCGAGCGAGAGAGGGGGGGAGAGAGCGAGCGAGAGAGGGGGGGAGAGAGCGAGAGAGAGAGAGAGAGGGGGAAGAGAGCGAGAGCGAGAGAGAGAGAGAGAGAGAGAGAGAGAGAGAGAGAGAGAGAGAGAGAGAGAGAGAGAGAGAGAGAGAGAGAGAGAGAGAGAGAGAGAGAGAGAGAGAGAGAGAGACCTGCAAGGGAAAACAGAGGGAAGAGATCCTGGAAACCTTTTTTATTGTTAGATGTGAATACAATTTAATCTGCAATACGAATGATATCCACATTACTTAAGCAAAAGAGGAGGAGGAGGAGGAGGAGGAGGAGGAGGAGGAGGAGGAGGAGGAGGAGGAGGAGGAGGAGGAGGAGGAGGAGGATACGATCCCCCGGCAAGACTATTCTTAGCATGTTTAACCCGGATGCATATGGGGTTAGCTGCACTTACTAAAAGGATCAATTCAACGGATGCTCCTCCCCTCAACCTAACAACTTATTACTAGCTTCTACTACATAATCTACTACGCTTAGTAAACAAATCTCGGAATTATCTGAAAGACGATGATAAAATGCCACACCATGGAGTGCAGAACTTCGTACTCTGCCATAATTCGTGAGAAAATCTACTGCACAGATACCTTAAAAATAAAATGTGAGAGCGAATAAACTATGAAATATATATTGAATGTCGATGTTCCCCAAACTTCGATCGGTCATCTATCCCCTTGAGCCTCTGCATTACCAAGCACCACGTGCAATTTTCACAAGTCTTCTTGTTATCCCTAACACCAGAGCCTTCACCACCCACACCACCCATCCAGCCGCCCCATCCCTTGCCACCCACACCACCCATCCAGCCGCCCCATCCCTCGCCACTCACACCACGCAAGAGTCGAGTCAGAAAGTGTGCCTACGTGCTGGCCTTTTCTTCAGAGCTGCCAAGATATTTTGTGTCAAGGAAATCGATGAAGATGATTGTAATCTTTACAAATATGTAGTAAGGTTTCCGCATGCTTGTGTTTATCAGGCGGAAGTGAGGACGGCCGGAGATCTGCTGGAAAGGGAATGCGTGCGTGACGACACCGGCTTTGCTCCCTGGTTGAAATTACATCTGTACTCGGGTCTGACGCACGGCCGGGCCCTCGCTCGCCCTTGCACTCGGGCACAGCTACCTATACATTCTAAACCGCCTAC